GACAAGCACGATTTATTACTATTATTTCTAGATATGTTATCATTAGTATATTATGTTCCTCCAGCATTTCGTTACAGTCAAGAGTCCGGTTCACCTTCAAGGGCTTCTTGCAAGCGCTGCTGCAGTGGCTGAGGCGGGTCATGTGCCTGCTCGGCAGTCGCTGATGGCGGTTGCTCATTTCTCTCCTGGTGTAAGACTTATCGGGGTCAGGGTTCAGGGGGAGGACAAGTCTGCTAAACAAGTTAAATATAATCGTAAGGCCGAAAGCCGGGCCAGACCTCAAAAAACTGCACGAGGCTTTTTAAATCACAATAAGAATAGTTATAAATTAATTTAAACTAATTAAAACAACTTTTGTTCGCAATCCCGAGTCTGGTCCTGGGCATCCAGGGACGGCTCCTCGTTTTTCGGCGGAGCTGCATCTTTTTCAAGTGGAGGAGGTCGAGGAACAGGCGACGACGCCGCAGCTGGTTCGAGCCCAGGCGGTCCAGAAACAGACGACGACCCAGGCTTTGCCAGAACAGACGACACACTTGCTGCAGACTCTATCTCCACACCACCAGAACCATGATCCTTTTGAAGAGGCGGAGGTGGCTGTGGCCCAGCAGGCAGCTTGGGTGTTGAGCCAACTCTCAGAACAGGGGGTGACGTAGCCTTGGAGCCAGCAGCAGGCACATGCTCAGCCTTGGCTTTTTTCTGCTCTGGAGCAGTTTCGTCAGTGCGGCTACCCTCGTCCCGCTGCTGCGGGCGGGCTTTGGCTGCGACAGGGGGTGGGGACACAGGCCCGGTTGGAGCGGGCTTGGGTGTGACAGTGCCTAGGTGCTTCGGTCTGGCTTCGGTTTGGTGTTTCGGCCTGGTTTCGAGTGCAACGGGTTGGTGCTTCGGCCTGGTTTGGAGTGCAAGCTGCGGCATGGCTTTCGTTGCCACTGGGACAGCCGGAGGCGGCGCAGCTTGTTGGAAGCGCCCGTGGTGCTGGGCAAAAACTTCGGCAGCGCGTTGCTTCGCAGTGTGCAGGTCCATGGAGTTGCCAAGAAACACAACAGACGACTTCTTTGGGTCCGTCATTGGCATCATCTGCAACTGAGCGCGCTCTGCACTGCATCGGCCTCTGAGCACATTGTCAACGACCGCAACAGTTTCGCCCCAGTTTTGTGAGTTAAACGTGGGGAGACACACGACTGTACGGCAGCTGTAAAGGTCCTCCAAGAGCTGTGCGAAGAGCAACGCCACCGCCGGTGCACGATGAAAACAGCTCTTACAGTTCACCATGACCAGCTCACTGGGTTCCTTCAGTGCCTTCATCGCGATTGCTGGTATTTTCTTGTGGCAGAGGACGTTGTCCATCGTGTGCGGGTGCAGTCCCGGTAGCCGCATGTCCCTGTCCTCCTTCTTGGCAGGGTCCCTGCAGGTTATGGTCTTTAGGGTTTGAGGGCTTTAGGGTTTCAAGGCTTTAGGGTTTAGGGTTTAAGGTTAAGCTAAGGTTAAAGAACAGGCGACCCTCGTTTTCGAGGCTAAGGTTAAAGAACAGGCGACCCGCGTGACTGGGCTTTAGGGTTTCAAGGCTTTAGGGTTTAGGGTTTAAGGTTAGGCTAAGGTTAACGAACAGGCGACCCTCGTTTTCGAGGCTAAGGTTAAAGAACAGGCGACCCGCGTGACTAAACTTTTGTTGATAAAATAATAATCAGACGCCGACCTTCACTTCAGAACAGCCGACCAATACTAAGACTCGGTATGTTGACTCTTAGGCTAGATTAGGAGGTCACTTCTGATGACATAGGTCTGTACTATTGCATAGCAAAGAAAATGAAAAACCAATAACTCCAACAAATGAATGCAGACTGAGTGACGGGAGCTCCTTCATCAAGTTGATGAAGTTCGTCCTGACATCGCGCTGCACAGCATTCTTGAAGACGTAGTCCTCAGGCGCCTTGAGGTCCACACTTCGGATCGTGACCTTTGCTGCGTGTGGAATCTTCTGTGTATGCAATCGTGGGTTCAGTGACTCCGACCAGGCGCTCCAAGGTGGGGAAGCAAAGGACGTTTCGGGCTGGCAGCCCAGCCGAAGATCACCTCAGGAATTCATTATCACAGCGATATCACTGCCATACAGTTTATTATAAAATGTGCTGCTGGAGAACCACCACGGCCGGCCACTTAACATCGGGAATTACACAGGCATTCAAGCCCCTCTCACCAGCGCCACCGCTGCTGCTAGAGGCAGCCATGGACGCATTCCTGCTAGAACACGCGACTTTTGTTGCGACAGCAGTCGACTGCTCTTTATGTGCTGCGTGTCTGTTTTTTGTGGCTCTTGCTCTGAAAGACTTTGCCTGTCTGCCTGGGCCCTAGCAGCGTGCCGGAGCCTAAAACACCTGAGCTGTTAAGGGCAGCGGAAAGTCGCAAAGGCAGTCAAACAGAGCTCCAGAGCACTGCATGCAATCGGGCAGGGGCACTCCATGTCCAGCTCCAGGACTTCCAGTCCCAGGTCTGGTGGTCCCAGCTCCATGCCATGGCGTCGGATGGTGGAGGAACAAGCGACACCTAAGCTTAGAACAGACGACCTCCAGCCTTGAGCTCCTGAAGCAGGGCGACATCAGCCACAAGTGGGACATGACAATGAATCGGATGCTGCTCTCAAAACTTGACTGCCATAGTTAATTGTCCGTCCCGCCCCCCCCCTTTTGGCAAGCAATCTCAGAAATCAAAAAGACTTTGAATGACTTCCTTAAGGGCCGGCCAGATTTACAAGGTACTTTAAAGGGGTTCGGGGTTTGTGGTTGAGGTTTTGGGGGTTCCAGGGATGCTTTCGGGAAGGTTGAGGGTTGAGGGTTCAGGGTTGTGAGGGCTTTCGGAGTGCTTCAGGGTTTTGGGCTTTGGAGCTCTAGGGAGGGCTTTTGGGGTTTAGAGGGCTTTAGGGTTTGCGGGTTCGGGGTTTCGGGCTTTAGGGTTTGAGGTTCTTGTTTTCGAGGCCGTCGTCGATGTTGTTGGACTTCTAGGGTTTCCGGGCTTCAGGGCTAGTCCATTGCGCTCTCAATCACAGTGCCGTCTCAACCTGCAGCCTATGAACCGCGTCTCCATGAATCTTTCCGACCCAAATTCCTGAGACGTAAACGTGCGCATAATCACGAGATATCTTTCGTCGTGGCTTCGGAGTATGCCGATGCTGGGTACACTTTTGAGGTGTGAGGTTTGCACAGCACTAACTATTTTGGTAACCACGGGATGCACAGCTTGGTGTGAGGGTCAGCGTTGTTGATGCCAACGTCTGGGATCAGGCTCGAGGGCATTTACCTAAATAGTGGGTTGCTAACCCGCAATATGGAGCCGAGTAGGCCCAGTAACCCGTTATTTGGGCAACTGAAGCCCTAGGTATTGGTGGTTCGACTCAAGCTACAGACGTTTCGCCTTGAGCCGTCCGCTAGTTGTCTCCGAAACTTCAGCTCTGAGACCACTGGTCGCTTATACTCGACGTCCCAGAAAGTCACCTACAAAACTTCAGTCCAGGCAATGTCGCGCGAAAGCATGGGCTAAGCCTGCTTAACATCGAGCGTGGACGACTCAGGGCACCTGTGGGCGTTTTCGGCTTTGGGTCTCGTGTTGAGGGTTGCGACCTGCCTTCCGGGTGCAGTTCCCCTAAGTACATAGGGACGACGCCAATGTATGTACTATTTGGGTACATGAACCCTTAAATGTGCAGAATATGTAAGTTTTGGCTTCGAGGCCTCCGGATCTCGGAACTAGGCTCGTGATGCAAGGCTTCGGTATCGCAGGCATGCAGAGCACATGGCGAGTCCGAGCTACAGTAAAAGAGTCTCAGGTTTGGTGTGTAATATGGATATGGGAGCGCGAATGCCTGATTAGATTTCGAATATGCTGTCCTTGTGGGGCTCCTCAATATATCTATACAAGAATCTCCCGGCCGACCCTTGCTCTGCACTCCACCATAAGGTTAATGCCGCTATGTTGTGAGTGCTTATATGCTTGCATGTCTGTACGTGCAGGCTCACACTTGTCGTGTTGACTTTGAAAAGATTCTGGGTCAGGGTTTATAGGGTTTACGGTTTAGTAACCCGTATCGTTTCGACAAAGGTACAGGCTGAGTGCTTTTGATCCCGACTCAAATAGCATGCGGGGCCGGAATAACTACCAATCGTATCCCTTTCTAGTCTAGTCCCTATATACTATTTGTTATAGTATAACGTACCCCAGAACTAGTCTAATGATTCATGCCCCTAAATTGTGGAACCCTTTGCATAACCCTCTGGAAACCCTTTAACGCAGCCATTGAAAAAGCCACCTTTCGGAGGTTTGCTTAAATTTACATCTTCAGAAGCCGTATCGAGATGAGCGATTTAGGAACGAGGGTTTAGGATTTGTGCAGGTAGGCTGTTTCTGCATGGGCTGAACTTTCGTGATACAAAGTCGAGGGTTTTGGCGTGGATGCTCAGACAGTCGGCTAAGAATGAAGCCTCTCTAAGCCCTAATATTCTCAACCCTAAGCCCCAGAGCTTGCAAGCCCTATCCCTCCCCTCCCCCCGAAGCCGCCGCCCAGGATACAAGAAGTCCTTTGACAGAGACCTGGCCTTCACTCTTGTTGGAGTGGGTTTCGGATCAAATCAAAGGTTTGAGATGGCTTTAGATGGGTTTGGGCTTGTTGGGCTTTTTGGGGGGTGAAACGAAAAGTTTGGGATTGTGTTTGATTGTTTTACGGCTTTAGGGTTTTAGGATTTTTGGGTTAGGGGTTAGGGTCAGGGTGTTAGGTGGTTTTAGGCTTTTCGGGGTTTAGGGCTTGTCGGGCTTTAAGGCAGAACCTTCGTTCCAGCTTGGGGAGAAGGCAGACCGTATTATAATAAGGACCAAGAAAGGTACCAATATCTTGACAACCGCCCAGATTGAGAAGGCTGTCAACCCTAACTTCGTGTCTTCTGGGGTGAGCAGCAAAACGGCGAAGCACAAGCTCGCGTGCGACGCAAAGTACAGCAGATACGACATATTTACCTATGAGCGGGAGCGGCTCCTTGGTGTTTTGCCGATTGTGCTTGTCGCACCTTCAGCATGAGGACAAGGCCATCCGGTATCTCACAGCTCCTGCTGAAATGCGACAATTTCTCGAGGCCGGCAGCTTCACTCAGGAGGCTGTCGAGGACTTGGTCGGTCTTCACCTACCTCCGAGGCCTCGGCAATATCAGTGGGCACAGCTTAAGGCGGCTGCTAAGGCTAAGGCTCAAGCGGCCAGAGGTGCTCCCGAAAGCTGAGCGAGCTGCTCGCCTTTCTCGTGCACATGCAGGTCAAATCTGCGGTCCCAACCAAGAACAGAGCGAAGTTGATCGCATTTTTCATGAGGGTTACGAGCGACTTCCAGGGCCGGGAGGGCCAGACGATGGAGGAGTGGCAGTGGTCATGTAGCATGTTTATCATCATTTGGCAAGTGTTACTAAAGATGAACCATGCAACTTATACCGTTGCCTGATAATAAAAACAACCCCAGCAACCTAGGAACATGTCCGGCCCAGCTGAATAACCTTGCATCGGGTTTGAAAGCATGTCGGTGTCTTGATCATGAGACCTTCTTTATGTTTGTATTTCCTGATGGTGGAGTTGTGCATCAGTTGCCCTCTCCTTCGTGCTTCTACCTGGACCGATGCACAGGGAATGTGTGAAACTGGGAAATACGGGGACTTGCTTGCTGATGTCCTCTTGGTTGGTCTTGATGAAAATCTGAAAGCCACGTGCTGGTACGCGTACTATCCTGTTCTGTTCTTGTTAGTGTATCATCGTTGTTGATTCTTGCACTGAGTAATTAAGCCTCACTATGAATTGTCAGAGTTCTGTTCCGGACATTCTGGTTCCTACTAGTTACTTTCTTGGCCCCTTTACCCTAAACCCTCGCTTCTGGAAGAAGCACACTCGTACTGGACCAGGATTGAGGGTATCAGTGGAGGGTTATGGGACGACCTGAGGATACGACTTGAACAACAACGGCGTGATTGAGTTCGCCACCTGCCGGCATTTCAACAAAATCTGGAGCGCCACATCTCAACCCTACCCTCCGAGTCCAAAAATTACAAGCAGCCCGAACACTTGGCAATTCTATATATATATATATATATATATATACGTATATGTATGCCTTAGTGCCCCAATCCCTATTCTGATTCGTCAGATTCAGATCAGAAGCCCAAGGCTTTAAACCCGAAAACTACTTGAAGACATCGGCATGCTACGAAGCTTCGAACATCTTCTGGCCCATGAGATCTGAATGCGGTGTCAGTAGGGTCGGGACTTCGGGCTATCCGGAGGGGGAAAAGTTACAGGCATCTGGCCATTACGAGCTCATTGAATTCTAGTCAGCTCTAACTCTAACCCCTACCCTGGGACAATCTAATGATCACCTCTGGCCCTCCCCTCCCCCCGCCCGTCATCACAACTCTCAGCAGGCAGGGGGGCAGTGCAGGAGCCCCGGTATGAAGGCTAAATGCTGAGCTCTGAATTGTATGACCCCGTATGCAATACTTCAGTAGCAGTTTGATGCCGGAAGCCTGCCAGAACGAATTCAAGCACATCATCACCGACCTCCTCAAAGTTCCACCTGGTCTCGCATCTCGGCTTTCTGTATCTTTCTACGCAGGTGGTGGGCTTCAGAGATTCGGCATGGGCCATCATATCGTGTGCTATAGTTCATCTTGGCAGAAGTGCCATGTAGTTCCTAACGAATGTATGATACTACAAGAGTATCTCCGAACTCTACTCTAGTTATCAAGGTTTCTAAGTGTTAGCGGGATTCATGATCCTGGATGCCTTGGTCTTCGGAGGTTTGCGCTTGCTGCCCATCTCGAATACAAGGAAAGGAGAATGACTTCTGGGGTGCAGTGGAACGGAGATACTTACGGGCCGGACGTACTGTTTCAATCAAATCAGACTCCTATACTGGCATGATCTGGCATACGTCGCAGTTGTCTACAGACATAAAACGGGTTAAAGTCAAAGAAAAGAGCTGCAACGGAGACCCTAGATAAACCTGAAGCCTACAGGGTGTCATTCAGGATCTGCCCCACGAGCGGCTGATGTCCATGTGGCGGTCGGCGGACAAGGAGCCGGATTTGAGCGCTTGTCGGATTGATGGTTCAGGGCCGCCGACTGTCGCCGTTTTCTGACCAGACTCCAAGCCCCGAAACCTAAACCCCAGCGTCAGGGCAGCATTAGCACGAACACGAAGTTCGAAAGCCCAAACCTAGACCGAAACTTGAAACTCCGTAAACCCTAACCTCAAAGTACTCTGGGGGCTTTAATATTTACCTATACTACTTTACGGCTTCCTTATTACAGTTTTAACTATCAAAGGCGCCTACACTAGCCCTGGCATGCACAGGACGGCAGTGGCTCAATCGACTTTGATGAGTTTGTGGCGTACCTGTGGCTGCACTGCTCTGTGCTGCCGGGTTGAGGGCTTAGGGTTTGGGCTTTAGGCTTGTGTTGACATCATGATCTGTTCTAAGTTGAGGCTTCCGAGATTTTCCTGAGCTTCATAGGGGTTGTGAAGATGACTTCTTGAAGATCGGGATGCCCTATTCAGACTCCTTTTAGCCATAAGGATCTTGCATGTTGGGTCTAGGCTTGGCTTCCATGTTATCTGAAAGCATATTGCTCTGATGTCCGGATGTGGTAATTGGGTCCTAATTTGGTTTATCCACAAAAACCCCTACCCCTCCACTTCCACCCAAACCCTGAACCCCGAATTCCTAGGCGCTAAGGCCCTAAGCCCAAAAAACCGCGAACCACCCTAAACCAGTAAGTTGATTCGACCCAGAGTTTGTCGAGCCAGGGCTCTGAATTGGTGCCTGGCTTGTTTATGCACAGGGCGGGTTTGGGTTTAGGTTTGGGGGTCGTGTGCTTGGGCTAGAAAGTATTAAGCTCTGCATGTCGGAATGTTCGATAAGTTGTAGCGATCCACCCTGAACCCTAGACCCTACAGGAAGACCTGAGTGTCTTCTCGATTTTCTGCATACGCAAAGCTCATGTTTGTTTCTTGTCCAGGGTTTTGTTGTATACAAATCTGGATGATCTGAAACTTGACAGATGCCAAACGTTTCTGGATATGCAAAGCTCGTTGGCTCGCTTCTTCTCAACAGTTTTTCTTGTGTGCCAACGTGAGATTTGACAGGTGTGAAGCGCTGGTGGATGAGCAAAACTCACTGTTTGTGTTTCTTCTCAATGGCGTTGGGTGGTGTGTAGCTTGATTAATTAAATGAGTATAGAAGCCTGAAGAATTACCAATGTCATTCCCTGGAGCTCCTTATTATAGTTATGCTGCTATACATCCCTACACCCCTATTCTAATTATGAGGGCCCTCAGGTTAAACTTCAGCGTAGTCTTTGCCTGACAACTTCTGATCCACCGGAACCCACTGAGTTCCAGACGCCCTTGTCAATTTTTCCCGGAAAGCTTCAAGACCTGCAGCGGAGTAGCCCCTCAGCCCCAAATCCTCGAGATTGATTCAGGAGTCGGTGATTCGGTCAGAATTGTCATACTAAGAGAGCGCCGAAGCTCGCAGATTCTACATGAAGTACTTCGGCGACACCTTCGAAACGGAGTTCGACCCGGTCACGGACTACTACCGGAGCATGCGTCGTGTACAGTAGTCTGCTCGCGCAGCTGCAAAACTTGCCAGCATGTAGGGCGTAGGAGTAGGTTTGAAGGACTTCGTTTTGTGGATAGTATGGTATATCCACAAAGATGGAATCTGAAGAGAGGGGTTATCCGTGATCTTTACAAGTTTAGGTTGGAGGATGTAAGACTTAGGAAAGGGGGTTGACCCTCAAAATGGCTGCAGAAGCACTGCAAAGCATTCTTTTCCGAAGACATCGTAAGGCCATACTCTGGCAAAGAGCAATTTTCAGACCAGGCGATAAGCCCTGAAAGCACAAGCCATGATAGCACGCTATTCAGCTGCACACCGAATCTGAGCGATTACGTTTGGCATCAGGATGCTGTCAAGTTGGATGCACACTGAGGAGTGCATTTAGCGGAATTGCCATGTGCTGTCGAGGGGTTCAGGAATTTGGCTTGGAGTCGCCCTCAACCCCAAACCTCAGCCCCAAACCCTAAACCCCAATCCCTAAACCTGCGCAGTCTCGGTCGATTATGCCCTTCTTTAAACCTCGAGGACCCTCGTCAGTTTCAGCTTAGCTTTGCCTAGCCGCTACCTGCAGCCAAATGTTCTTCCTTTTCCTGGTTTCCTTACCCGATGCAGCGAAAAGCTAGGGCTTGGGTTACAGGTATAGGCAACCTGCAATCCGGTTAGTACACTGATATAGCGGTTTTGATATAAGTCCATGGTGCAGCATTCAAGAAAGAGGGCCGGGTGTTTTCTAGGTGCATCTAGCTCGATGGAACTGAACCCAGAGACTCCAATATCCCTTAATTGAGGAATATACCTTAAACAATATATGAGGGATCCTGTTATAATCCAAGGTATATTACTTTATTAAGGGACATTGGAGTCTTCGGGACGGTAAGGGTTTCGATCCGAAGGCCCAGGGGCTAGTAGTCCCTGTGGAGGGTAGCAGGTATGTATTGCCGCTCCTCCTGCAAAATCCGAAACCCAAAGCCTCCGGAAGCTCTAAACCCTCTTAATTCCTAAGCCCTGAAACCCAAATCCGCACAAATTAAATCCGACCGTCAGCTCCCCAAGCTGCCGATTCCTGGATTCCGCATCCGTCTTCCATTTCCCAGAGATCTTTTCTCTCGTGCAGAGCACAGGGAGGACATTCTTGGCGAAGCTCTACGTGCGGGTCGGGGCTTTCCTACAGAGTCTACTTGATCAACATGCGAGCTCTTTGCTTTTCCTTGCGGTTTGAGTTTCCGAAGGGAGCCCTCCAGGTAAGCCATCGGGACAGGGCATGTTCTCTATCACTTGGCGCAAGAGAGTCGTACTTAGGATCGTTTGGCAATCGAGCGCCAACCTGGTGTCTTATAGTACGGGAGCTTGAAGGATGCACACAGACATTCGCAGATACATGTAGGCACGCCCGAGACCCCAAACCAGCAATCTCCTGTGCCTCCAAAACGTCGCCCTTATTACTTAAGTCCTGCATCAATCGGAGATCTGGAGCGATTCGCACAGCAGGAACCAGACTGACGTTCGTGTGCTACCGTAGTGCAAGCCCGAAAGAGCCCGTAGGAGTCCTTAAGACCCTGAGACGTAAAGCCGAACTTCTGAACTCTAAACCCTTCTGAGAGAGGTCGGGCAGCAAAGCTTTGCTGCAGTTTTTTTTAAGATATGAACGAGTGTCTGCTGGGTGAAGAAATCTCTAGTAGGGATTGAAACTATGGAAGCCTGAAACAATAGTAACACCGGTCCTCAGGGCTACTATAGTTACATGTACATGTACCTTAACCTACCAAACCCTACTTTTTTGTAGGCTCTTATGATAAGCCCTAATATGGAATTTATAGGGGCCCTACTTTTTTGTAGGTTTTGGTAGGTTAAGGTAGAATAATATGCTCCGAAACCCTATTCCAATTAGAAGGCCACCATTTCTGGCATGGCCCATCGAAGCGGCGAGTTGTAGAATTTGAGAATGCCCGCTAGAGAAACTGTACGGCCCCACCCACATGAAGCCGGGTGGATTTTACCGAGTGCATAGAGGGCTCCGGTTAAAAGATTGTATGTGTATGTATGTAATATACTTTTATGTGAATATAGTTGGGCTGATTCTAGTCGGACATGAGCACCATATATCAAGTCAGTCTGCACCGTCCCCACAGCCTTAACTTTCCAGATTCCGAAGTCACAGTCCATAGCAGTGGTGATATAGCAGCCGTTGTGATGTCGACCCATTGCCGAAAGCTGGTGCTTGTGCATCATCGTCATCATCACCGTCGTCATCAAAATCAGCAGCAGCAGCAGCAGCAGCAGCAGCAGCAGCAGCAGCAGCAGCAGCAGCAGCACGTCAGCTCAAGCTGTCGCGTGCTTCGCCTCGATCGTTACTGTTCACAGCCATTGTCGCCAACATCCCCCGCACTATCAGCACCATCATCATAATCATCAGCATTATCCTCATCACATGAGGGACCAACCAGCCACGCTGCACAAAACCTGTAGCTCTGGCACAGTGTAGAGCTTCTCCATCTTCGGGGCCTTGTCAACCCCACGTCAATGTGCTGTCGGGAGGGCCCTTTTCTCCTCTGACTTGGTGTCAGGGTTGGAGGCTTGAGACAAGCCGGTAAGTCTTTGAGGTATATGGCATAGTTCAGGGTCAGCATCCAAGGATTGGGGATTGAGTCAACATGTTGAGGATTCCCGCTGAACGCCTTGGGGGCTCCTCGCCATGTAAGCCTGAGCACATACGTAGACCTCACCTCAGTTCGAACTGATTGCTATAATTATGGCCTGAATAATTATGTAGAAGTGTTATTCCCCGTTGGACAACTATGATATATATTGTCAAATCCTATTCATTCCTGAAGTCTAAGACTAGGTTCGGTGTTGTTCCATGGAGCCTCCTGAACTGGTGGAGAGAAGAGCTCGGATCAGCAGCTTGCAGCTTGCATGTGGCAGTGTCATGGCAGCTGTAGCTAGTTGTACCTTGTCCAGACCCAACTGTCCTACGTCAGCCGACGCAGTTTTCGCACCTCCGTTTCTTGGTGCAGGACTTTTGGCTCGAGGTGGAGAATGGTTTCAACAAGCCCTAGATGTTTAAACAGCTTAGAATGGCTTCAACGAGCCATACACTAGACAAGGAAGCCATAATCAGCAAACCGAGCACGGTAGATTTTAAGATGATCCTTTGAGAATGCCGGGCCTTCGTGGTGAAAGTAGCTTCGAACATTCTGGGAGTCTTGGACACCGTGCGAACTTTGCAGACAAGATGTGCGGCTCAGGGTTAGGGTGCCTAGATAAAGAAGAGAAAAATCAACAGATGTATCCATGTATCTATCGGTATAGAACTATGTGATACCAAGCAGCTATGTTAGATTTATGTGTCCATCCGCGGATTCCTGTATGTATGTATCTACGTATGTGCATGTGTACTAACAGCGCATGTGCATGTAGTGTCTTTCGTGCATTCATTGGCATATGTAATCATCTGCATATGCTGCAACTATGGTTGGCATGTCTGACGACGAGTATCACTACGCTTGTTCTTGCATGCTGGGGTATGATATACCAGTGTGCAGAGGAAGCAGGGGGGTAAAGACAGAGAAGAGAGAGTGCATGTGTGAGAGAAAAGACATAGACTTAAAAGAGAGGGAAGTCGAGAGAGAGAGAGAGGGATATATATATATATATATATGTATATATATACATGTTCTATACATGTATGTATAATAATATATATATATATATATATATGCAGACTTGAAAGGTAGAGAAGTCGAGAGACAGGCAGAGAGAGAGAGAGAGAGAGAGAGAGAGAGAGAGAGAGAGAGAAAGAGAGACAGAGAGGGAGAGAGCGAGAGAGAGATAAAATGAAGTCCGCCTTGCAACCGGGAGACCGGCCAGCCATAAGCCACAAACGATGGAGGGTTCAAGACCCCCAAGACGCAACTGGACATGAGCACCCCCCGCCCTAAAATGTAGCGCGCTGCTGGTGTTGTCGACGATGGTGTTTCTGTTTCCTACTAGCACTAAGGGAGATGGGTTGACACAGATAGTATGGGTTTAGGGTTTACACTTTACCGTGTAGCTGTAGCCACTAGGATCAGCGAGATCGAGCCAGAAGCTTTTAGAAGTTTTCCGAAGAAGACCGATGATCTCAGTCGCATGCCCTGGCTGCAAGCAAAATATTCGGGTGTAACCCTCAACCCTAAACCCTAAAGGTCTAGGGCTTTAGGGTCCTAAACCACCATCCCTAATCCAAAAACCTTTGAGTCCGGGATTCTGGGAGGGTGAAAGTTGAAGTTGTCTCCTGCCGTAAAGGCTGTTGCTGAAATTCGACTTGCAAGATAAATCGGTACCTGTAAATCATCCGATTAGCTACTATTGAGGTACTGTAGCTTCTGATTATACAAGGTGCCGGAGCCCACCATTCTGTATGGTTTGGAGTTACACGACCATGGCATTTAGACCACAAGCGTGCCTGGAGCAGCAGTGAGTAGTTACTCTAACCTAGACGTGGAAATCCAAGCTTGCTTTAGAGCCAGGGATTATGAACTCCGCCGGGAGACTCCCCGAAGGGGAGCTGTTTGGTTTGCAAGCAGGTCGGAGGACACATGCGCCCTTGCTCCCACCGACTTCCCAGACGGCAAAACGGACGTGCGACTTTGAGAAAACTAAGTGACCCATAACACATGATGTAGACACCGGGTAGTTGGATTCGTATTGTAAGGACCCAACGTACAGTATCCCCATCCCCACCACCGCCCGCGCCCCTACCGGTTTCATCCATGCTGTGATGGTATATCCAAGAGATACCATTGTCGCCTGGGCAGGGGTCCAAACCCCCAAAGCAACTCTCAGCCACCTCCCCACCCCTCTAAACGCGCGAAGAAAATATGTCGCTTGGTTTTGCTATAGAAGAACATTAGTGCGCTCGCGGAGTTGTTCAAATATAATGACCGGCACGACTGGAAAGAAGTGAATGCAGTGCCGACTTGGATTATTGTTTGATCAATCTTGTTCTTACTGTCTCAAAGT